TCATTGTAAACCTTCAAAATTTTTTATTAACAAACTGTGGAATTTGAAAGTGAGCAGTGGCAACACTTCTAGAAATAAATCAGATATTTATCTTCAGCGTGCGTTACTGTTGCCACTCGAAAACATGAGAGCGAAAATAAGCGTTTTCAGAGTTTTTAATGATTACAACAGATGAACATACAACCTGTTCAATTATGAAACTACCATGTTCAATAGAGCTACTGCTCATTTCACAAAACAATATGCAATACAATGCACGTGAAAAAATTAAAATTCACATCGTACAGAATTCTGGTGTAAATAATAATTAGTGTAATAAGTCGAATTTACAGGACATATGTTGTCATTCACTGCTAACTCATGCTTCTGACTGTTCTGCATTTCAAATAGTTACAAAAACGATACAAATGAACAGCTTAGACTTTTTATCTACTCACGTTATGAAGAACAGGACTCGAATTGCGAAAGAGAGCTACAAAATCAGTTCTCAGTGACAATCTACTTGTGAACCCAACGCGGCGATAAAAGGCTTCATTAACCAAGTGGTCAATACAATGAAATCCATTGCATAGTTATGCATTTAATATATTACTTAACATTATAAGCAAAAAAATCCGTTCTTCTCTTTTTTCTGTGTTCTGAAGTAAATGATGTCCTTGCATCTAAAGCCGGATGGGAATAAAACCAGCTTTTAAAAATTTCATTTCTTTTTGTTACATTCATTATTTTTAAAAACTTCATGACTGGATTCATTCTGTTTAAGAACACTCTTTATTCTAAATGTCTAAAATTTCTTTCTATTAACCCTTTGTTGCATGCAAATAATCTAGAGAAGTTAAACGAAAATGTTTGTATTTTTTCTACTTAAAATAACCTTAGTAATAATAAAAAAAAATTATTTTATTCAAATTTCATTTTAAATAATTGCTACAGTTTGTTCACTACAGTGAACTACAGTTTGTTCACTACATGCATATATGTATATGCATACAAATCTCTTCCCAACGATTTACGGTCATTGCACTTGAAATCATTTCCTGCCTTGTTTGCAGTGATCATTACCATCTTCTAAATGGTAAATCTACAACTGAGATGCACATACAGATCCTCCAAAATACCTTCATTTCGTCGATTGTGATTGAATTCATTTTGCTACGATTTTGTAACCTGTACCTATTGGTTCAAATGTGAAATGTTCTAGAAATTCCTTGCCAAACATAAACATTTCCAATGGTGTTTTGGCTTGATAAGCAGTCCATTTGGATTTCAATTCACTCTTTTCGCTAGATCTTCATCTATACACTCAACAATTTTCTCAAACTGACATTTAAAATAAAATGCCTAAAATTACTAATTATGAATAAAATTAGCAATATTATATACTGTTTACTATGAGAAATTGTACTAACTTGGAAACAGAAGTAGCAGCCATTTTCCACATAGAAATGTTTAACTTAGTGATGCTATACAGCCATCTATGATCCACAGTTGAAAATTCTAATATTAAAGCATGAATAAACACATGAATGGAATCTGTTAAGGCATTTACAGAAGAATACACAAATTTTAACTTTTGTTTACTATAGTGGGCATGATGCAACAAAGGGTTAATTTTTCAAAAATGTCTTCAATGGAAATACTAATCTTAAAATAACTAAATTAACAACGTAGTAACAACATTTCCAGAGCTATAGTGCAGTATAGCCCAAGTAACATGTAATAACATAAAACACTTTATAACCATAACCGCATTTCATTTATTTTTTCATATGATTTCTATATTACAAAAGTTGATATAGTGAAAGTTTAAGATGGAGGATCATCATATTTCAAAAGACATCTTAAGAAGGATCCTTAACGCTGGATGAATGTCTATTTATTGTAACAAAAATTTCCAAAAATAGCATCATTAATATTGATGCTTCGCTTCAATTTAGTAAAGAATTCTTGGTAAGATGAAAAAGCACTAAACTTCAGCCTTGCAAAATTTATTAGTCCAAAGGGTCTTTGTCCCTGAAGAACTATTGTTTTCGTTTTGGCATTTTGCATTGAAAACTTTAAAAAGGCTGTATCACTTTTCAAATCGTTGCCACCAAATATTATCGGCCTGTATTATATTTGAAAAAATTAAATAATGAAGAATCTGCGTAAATGTAGGTATGTTTCTCGCATTGTGATTAAACAACGGTACCTAGAGCCATCCAATTTTGAATGACGTAATCCTACTGCAAATATGGGCATCTGAAAGCCCAAATTTAAAATTTAGAATTTGTTTTATTATCGATTTCATAGTTTGTAATTTTTGATTGACAAACTCTACGATTTAAAAGCGAGAAATGGCAACACTGTACGGGTGAAAAAACCTTTTTATCTCCAGCGCGCGGAACTGTGTATCGGAAATTCTAAAGATAGGCTCATTTTAAAATTATTTTGCGACATTATTGTTGAACTGAATTTTACGGTTTAAGTACGAAGAACGTGATATTTAATAAATAAAAGGTAACACACAAAACGTTAAAAAAACGGCCCTTTGGAAATTTAAATTCTGAAGCCTTTCATATTTTTTCTTTCTTATTTTAAACTGGTTTTGTTTTCCTCCTGCTTTTCTAACCACTTTTAATTTTCTATGAGTAAGGTTTAACTATAAAATGAATCACTTAAAAGCAGTTTTGTTCAAAAAAGAAATATGTGGCAGTAAGCTAATTTTAATCCAAAGGCGCAATTTGCCCAGACTGACTATTAATTTCGTTTTGGCATTTTTCATTGGTTCACTATAAATGTCGATTCATTTTTCAAATTGGTGCTACCAAATATCAGGGCGCTGTATAATATTTAAATAAATTAAATAATGAAGCATCTGCATAAATGAATGTAGATTTTTCACATTGTAATAAAACAACGGTACTTAGAGCTATCCAATTTTGAATAACGTGCGTTTCCAACCGAACATCTGGAAGCCCAAATTTGAATTTTGAATTTGTTTTATTGCCTATTTCATATTTTGTAAAACTTTAAAGAATTTTTCATTAACAAACTCAACGATTTCAAAGTGAGCAAAAGCAGCACTTTACAAAAAAAAAAAAAAAAAAAAAAAAAAATTCATCTCCAGCGCGCGAGACTGTGTATCTAAAGATATGCTCATTTTAAAATTATTTCGCGATATTGCTTTTGAACTCAATTTTTATGGTTTTAAGCGCAACGAACATGATATTTAATAAATAAAACACACAAAACGTTAAGAAAAACGCACCTTTGGGCGTAATATATAATCTGAAAATTTTCAGATTTTTATTTTTATTCTGAGTGATATCAATTCAAATCGTGTGCGGTATGTTCATTTCAACTCAAAAGACATCATCCCCATTAACGATATCAGTATTATTGAGAAGAACACTCAAAATGACTCCATAAACGATACAGCGTTATCAGCTATCTATCAATGAGGTGTTTGAAAAGGGGCAACATTTGCAATATTAATGGTTGAAATAATAGGGGGTAAGAATTAGATCGACCAGAGGCCGAGCGGTAAAGTTGCTGAAAACTGGTAGTTCAGGACGAGGCTCGAATCTCGGCAAACTGGCTGGCTCCATGGACGTTTTCGTGGTTTTCCTCATGTGTAACGTGGATTAAAACCAGTTTCCCTTAGAAAGTTCTCGAGGAAGGCATCCCTCCTCTTAAGGCTCCTCTCGCCCTCGAGTGCTTTGCCATAATTAAATAAACCAAATCAAACCAATCCAGGTGAATAAATTTGTAAACCTGTGACAGACAAGGCTGCTTTCTAACTGAAAGATTTCGTCAATAAATAGAAAAAGCAACACTGAGACCAAAGTCCCCATTCTCTGCATATGTAAAAACTTTGTAGTAAGGTACACAATAACAGTTGAGATTTTGCTGAAAGTTTTGTGACTGGACATTGTCAATTGAAATAAAATTGAAATTGTGAAATATTGGCAATTGTTGACAAAAACAAAATTTCTTTTCTGAATAAGAGTTAATATCTGCCTCAAGAATGATTTGATTAAACAAAACGAAGCTCAGTGGAAATTGTTACAAATGACTATCATGCACCTCAAATTTTAATCCTTACCGTAATTCCACCCGACACTGTATTAAAGACAAAGTGTGTTTGGATGCCCGGACTCAAAATAAGCAAAGCAAAATAAACATTTATTCTTAGGCTTATGGATATAAAATCTGACGTATAAAAATTTTAATTCCCAACATTGTAGAGACATTAAGTTATTTCGAAGCAGGAGAGATGAAAAATGAGCAATGCCCTCACCAGGACTCGAAACACGGACCTCTTGAACACGCGTCGAGGGTGCTGACCACTACACCACGAAGGCATGCTAAGAAGGCGGGAGAAATACCTTATAATATTAGTGAACTCCATTTTACACAGCTATTTTGCAAGAAGTCATCGTTACGAAAATCTCATTAGTTAAATTTTTTAATTGCGTAAATTGATTTAATTTAATCATATATTGCTACCGTTACACCACGAGGCTAGGGAAGTGGGAGAAATACCTTATATACTCCCCTTTTTAAAGGGCGACTAGGATTTTAGGGGACCTTGTCGCCAAATCCTGGGTGCGGAAAATCATCATCCACCACAACCCTTTTTAGTTCGGGCGCCACTTGTAGTCATTAGAACTTTTCGGAAGCAGAAGAGATGAAAAATATGCAACCGCCTTCGCCGGGAATCGAACCACGGACCTCTGGAATACCGACCCAGCGTGCTACCGTTACAGCACGAAGGCACGCTAGGGAAGTGGGAAAAATACCTTATAATACGACCACTAACACAAGTAGTTTTATATTGAATCGGACTCCTGTAAAAGAGAAAACATGCTTTATGATATCAACTTACATAAAAAGAGTTCTTAGGCTTAATCTTCGTTTCATAGATGTGAATAAAAATAATCTTGAACTGCAATTTTAAATGAAATTGAATTTCTTTTCTTGGTTAATGTTACCTTATGTCACTTTCTTTGCTGTAGGCATTTGTCCAGTACTATGCAGTAACAGAGGTGAATATATTGGGGGCGAATGCGTGTGTAGTCCTGGCTGGAAGGGCAAGGAGTGTCAGCTTAGAGAGTACGAATGTGAGCGATTAGACTGTAGCGGTCATGGAGAATGCCTGGAGGGAGTATGCCGCTGCTTTCCCGGCTACAAGGGCACGCACTGTGAAACAGGTAAGTTTCGATGACCTATCGGAGATCATGTGTAATTGGGCGGGGATTTAACGAGGCCTCGCCGGTCGTAATTAGATAGATACCCGAGGCCATAGGGAGCTGTGAACGAAAATTGGAATCCTAAGCCAGTGAGATATACTTTTCTCTCTTTTCTATTACGCGGAAAGATTTGCTTGAAAAGACAGACCGAGATTCCTCAGTGTTAATCAAGTGCAAATGAATTCGCTAAATATATAATAAATTCATTACCATCATAGTTGTAATATTTGTTCTCCGAAATTAATGAACAAGTGTTTAAGAAATGTTCTCATGAAAGATAATTGCATTTAAGGATGTACTTTGCAGAACTGTATGATATAGTAATATTACAATGTAATGCATATGATACTGTTAAACACAGTACACCTTATACATTTGCCATACACTTAACAAAAAATCATCAAATTTAAGTAGGTTTCCTTCTGAATGTGTAGAAGCATTTTTTTTTTTTTTTTTTTTTTTTTTTTTTTTTTTTTGAAGCAAGAGAGATGAAAAATGAGCAATGGCCTTTGCCAGGAATCGAAGCATAGACCTCTGAAATACCGGCTCGGTGGGCTGACTACTACACCACGAAGGAACGCTTGGAAGGCGGGAGGAATACCTTATATACTCACCCTTTTAAAGGACGACTGGTGTTTTAAGGGACCCAATCGCCAAATCCTGAGGGGGGAGAATCATCATCCAAAACCCTTTTAGTTCGGGCGCCACTGTAGAGATATTAGGTATTTTTTTGGAAGCAGGCAAGATGAAAAAGGAGCAAGCGCCTTCGCGGGGAATCGAACCTCGGACCTCTAGATACCGGCTCCGCGTGCATAACCACTACACCACGAAGCCACGCTAGGAAGGCGGGAGAAATACCTTATAAAAAAATGTGTCATATGAAATTATTTTTGTGATCGACCTTGTTTCATGGATGCATAACGATGTCAAATTTAAGAATAACTTCTTTTTAATGTCGGGAAGAAGCGAGCTAAGAAATGTTTTCTTTTATAACCGCCGTGCTCGACATAGCGGTTAGCGGTGCCAGTTGTCATATCGTTGGGTCCGGATACGAATTTCGGTAAAAGCATGGATGTTTGTAAGTGAGTCCCTTTGTGGCATGAAGGCGCTTAAAATATTGTAAAACTGAGCGCTTTTCCGAGAGGTTGCTGGTAATCTTTCTCTTGGACATTGTGCATCAAAATTGCGTTGGAGCTTGGAAAACTCGTGCTATTACCTATAAGGTGACTATAAGGGGATACGCGAAAGTCTTTCTTTCTTGACCGCAATGACCACAGAGATCTGAATTTGACTACATTCAGAGCAGGAGGATTAGCTCCATCACAATAAGAATTTTTCATAGGAATATAAATTATTTAATTAAACAACTGTGAATACAAAATTGAAGTGGAAATTTAAATACCATTTTTGGCAAAGCAATAATTTGCAGTTAGTCTCAATATGTTCCAAAAAATAATAATCTGTCACTAGATAATGATCAGTCATTGGCTAGAACATAATGAAAAGTTAAAATAAAATTTTATGACGCTCACCAGCGGCCGAGTGGTAAAGTCACTGAACACTAGTAGTTCGGTCCGAGGTTCGAATCCTGCAAACGGGCTGGCTGCATGGGCGTTTTCGTGGTTTTCCCCATGTGTAACGTGTATACGAGCCAGTTTCCCTTAGAAAGAGCTCCACGAAGGCATCCCTTCCCTTAGGCAGATAGCCCTAGTGAGCTTTGCCGTCATTAAATAAACCAAGCCAAAATTTTATGACTCGAAAACTGTCTAGATTAAGTGCAGTTATTTAAAAAGGAAAACCAGATAACATAATTGCGCTAACAGCTGACAGTTTCATTTGATTTTAGTGGGCAGCTAGTTTGGCTGTATGAAAATTGTTTTCTTCTCCAGTAGCATTCATATAACATTTCTAACTCAAATAGTCTACTTCCAAACGCTGCTTTCTGTAAGAAAGTTGTTCCTTGCGTGCATTCTTTCCTTGTTACTAATAATTTAACTATCCACAGATAATTCTCAGTCCCCACCCGTTTATTAATTTAAGCAAACAGTTACGTGCATAACATGTTATGCTTGTGTCTCTTGTATGATGGATGTGAATTATGGTTTGATTGATAACTCTATTCATACATGTTTTGTGAATTTAATTTTTCATTTGAAACAAATACTTTTATATTTTTAAAATAACTTCTAAATTTAATAGAGAAATTTCAAAATATTCACAAAGTATACATGCAGAATTTTAGACATACAATGAACTGAAATTATTTTCACCCATAATCTAATTAAGGCATTTAAATAAAGCTTTCCTGTAATTTTCTTTTAGTTATACTTTTACATATTGTTGTTATGCTGTGTAAAATTTATAAACATTTATTAATATTGTAAGAGTTACAAATAGTTAGAGATATTAATTTTACAAGCGTTAATATTATAAATCTTATAAGAGTGGATAAATTTTATAAACACGTTTTATAAAATTCACGCATTTTATTTATAAAACATCGAAGTAAGTGTATAAATAAGCATGGATGCACAGTGTTTTTAAATGCTGCAGCAGACTGCTGAAATGCTAATGAAACCAGTTGATAAATATTAGATTTTATTTTAATTAGTGATCACTTAAAATGTATACAATTTAGAAGCATTTTTATTAACATCACCGTACATTCATGTCATATTATCAAGTGTTCACTTATTGGTAAAAATCTATATTTTATTCTATTGCCAATTTGTCTGCGGAATATACTGAATTTTTTAGAAAGTAAAATTTATAAATGACATGTCGTGCATTTAATACAGTAAGGCGTATGAGTACAAAATCCTCTATTTAGCACAATTTTACTAAAGAATCAAAATTAGAGTAACGATGAAATCTTTATTTAACAATTTAAGAGTTTGCTTAACTCAGAAAGAACACAAATAGAATACAAATCAAAGTTACCTTACAAATCAAGTCCTTACAAACAATTAAATCGAAGTGTTTACAAGATTCTCATTTATAAGCTTTAAATATCTTCAGGCTTACTTATTGGGCAATATTATGAGGAGTATATTCCATAAAAGAAGATAACATACTAAAAAAACGCATGAACCACAAGTGCAATGTTAGCACAAAATCTTTTTAAGACTTCTGCATCTGAAAACTTAAGTAGGATCCCATTCTCGCCAATATATCGTTTGGCGCTCGTTTGTTTTTGCCGTTGCCGAGTTTCATTATACAAAAGTGACACTAATTTATTCTAACAAAAAATTCCGTTCAGTTTTATATACAAACTTGATGTCCTAAGGGTTCTCTAGATAATGGTGGACGTAGTGCTATACTAATTAACCGTATGGTAGAGGCATAGTGTCCACGCCCCCCCCCCCGCGTTCTTTATTCTTATACAAACTTGATGCGACTGTAGTAATAATAATAATAATTTTAACATATTTGCTACATACATAACATTTCTTTAATCTGGTAAAATTTTTAAATCCTTCTGCCCCTATCCCTAAGATTAAAAACTACCTGACTACTTGTTATAAAGAACCTAAAAATGTTCCGCACCAACTGTTTGCTTCTAATCAGAAAGTAAATTGCAAGAATGTGGTTAATTTTGAGATCAGAGCTAATCTGTGAGCGCGTATCTTTGAAGCAAGCAACTATTATAACATATTGCTACGAATTTAGTATTTAGATAGATAATTTTAATAGAATTATAGTTAAAATTGTTGTATTTCCCAGTGCGATGCAATGCGAGACAGTTTTAGAGAAAGCTATGCTGGAAAAGTAAGAATACAAGAGCACGTTCATTTAACATTCAATAAATGGGTATCTGGGTAATTTGTATTGAAACTGAATAAATATAATTGACCACTATGTTAGCTATAACCGCTAACATATATATACGTATTTATATTGTTTTCCAGAAATTTCCGGAAGTAGAAAGTACGAGAAATATTGCGCGATCCGTTGAGAGTAAGAAACATAATGTTGATTGACTTGGATTTTATTGAATTATTGGAATAACGTTGATTGACTTGAATTTTATTGAATTATTGGAATTATTGAAATCTATAAAAGGTCCGAGAGAGAGCGTTTTAGTTAAAAGTTTCGTTGCTTTAGGTACTGTTGTTGTGAATTGTTTAGTTACGCGTAAACTGGGATATCAGAGTTAGCTTTCTCTTTAGATGCGCTTTGCATTGCTTTGTATTAACGTTTTTAGTAGTTTGAAGTATAACTACTGATTATATTACGAGATATTCTGAACACTTGTACCAAAATCTCTGAAGAAAATTCCAGAGTTCTGACGTATTTCTTTTGATCAGAATAAAATGTATTAACCTATCATCGGACTTCTGCATTCAATTCATTACGAACCCTTACGCACGCAACAATACTGTTACATGCGCAAAGGTCAGAGGGGTTGAAATAAGGGCATGTTGTGATTAATTCATGCTTAGTATGAAAAATTTGGACTTCGACGGATAATCCATTCTAGGACATTCTTTCATTTGGGTTAGTGTTTTATGTTTAGAATTATAATTCTTCTAATTACATATGTCAAAAAATGTAAACATGTATATATGCGCAATTTATTAAGAATAATTATTCAATTAGTTCAATTTAACAACAATTTATTCTGTGTTGAATGCTTCTCATACTTCCATTACATTTGCCATGACTTTTATTTTTCGCAACTATTTCGTTCAAAACCACTTTCTTTTCCTTACCAGTGGACTGTCTGGATCCCGACTGCTCAGACCACGGCGTCTGCGTATCAGGTTTATGCATCTGTCGTAAAGGTTGGAAAGGGAACGACTGCAGTGACCCGGACACGGATGCTCTGCGATGTTTGCCGGACTGTTCAGGACACGGGCAATTTGATCTGGAACTCCAGAAATGCATTTGCGACGAGCGATGGACCGGATCGGATTGCTCTCAAGGTAAGTTCTCTAGAAGAGACTTTCTGAACTCCAATGCTTGTGCCCGTTCGAGTCACTGGTAATTAATTCGCTTGGCGGTATTTGTGAAATGTAATCCGTGTTAATCTTTGCAGAATGTGACAGGGTTGGCAGGTTTTGTAGTTGATGGCATTTGGCCGGATTGTTGACCACCAGAATGTTTGATTCTCTAGTCTAAACCTGATAGTAAACACTATGGAAAGATGAGAAGCATTATAACTGAGAGTAAGAAAATAACGTTGATTGACTTGGATTTTATTCCGTGATTTACCTCAACATCTCCTTCCTGTCACAGTATTTATATAGACTGGAAGGTTTTACGGATTTAATGGCATACTGAATATTTGCCGAGTTTATCCGTAGACTGAGCACGAAGTTTAATTTCACAGTTCATATTTTATAATGTCCCGTAAATAGATAAAACAGTGTCAAATTTTCGAAAATTTACTAATAATAATTACAGGCAAAAGTAATAAATGTCTAAGAGTAATAAACTATTATTATATAAATATAATAAATGCCACAGCAAATTAAATTTTTGGCCTTTTTGCTTAACAAAATGCTTTTATACAAAAACAAGTTTTAATAGCTGAATACTGGCAAATTCATTTTAACATTTTCATGATTAGCTGCTAGTTTAGTCCCTCAAAAAAATTAAGTATTCTTTTTTTTTTCTGTTTATTGTTCATGTCGTTCATTTACTTGCAGCTGAAGTAGACGATAGTCGAGATGGTTTGAGTCGCTAAAAGAGCTTCTACTGAAGTAAAGGGTTCACCAGCGGCCGAGCGGTAAAGTCTCTGAATACTGGTAGTTCGGTCCGGAGTTCAAATCTCGGAGAATTGGCTATCGACACTAATTAATGCCGATACTTTTGTACTTTAAGAAGAAGCCTTCCTGATGTTAATTCTCTTGTGTCTGCATTACGTACGGCAGTGCTATAGATTCACCTCATTTTACCGAGAAATCTACGTTCAAAGATTTTATACGTTTGAAATAAGTATTTTACACGTATGGAAAATATTAAGTAATAATTATAAAGATTTTAGGGGGAAGTAATAAAAAACCTGTTGCGAATTCGAATCATGGATCTTACACTTGCCAGCTGGACATGCAAAGCCCTTACACTACGCGAACATGCTTGGGGAAAGGCAATAATTCTTTACATTCTCCCCTACGTAAAAAGCGACATTCCCCTTTCGGTCGTCATTAACTATTAGATGTGGAATCAGTAAGGTTGTAATGTCAAAAATCAGCTGTGTTCTGGCCGAGTTTCGAAACATGCATCTTCCATGTGCTAACCATTCTTCCATTCGAAACATGTATCTTATACAATTTACACTATAGTCACCATTTCTTTCCTGTGTGTTTCGGAAGGTTGAATTTTAAGTTAAAACATGTTAAACGCTTGAACTCAATAATTTGAAAAGAATTTGAGTCATGGCCAGTAGAAGCACTAGAAGCAACGCTTGTACAATCGCTAGTAGAGAAAAGAATTGTGTCACAATTTCATTAGACTTTGTGTCGCCAGAATCAGTTTTACGTTATCAGTTTTACGCCAGCATCAGTTTCACGTTAAATCAGTTTTATGTATCAAATTTCTAATTCTTTCGAGAGAATCTCTAAATATAATTCCATATTTAGAGTTTATCTGAGTTAATTCTTGAAGAAATCTTCTCCCATTCATTTGTTAAAACGGTTTGGATAAACTGTACAAAATCTGAATTTATATTCTGTAAGTATTGTGTTAATTTATCTAACAGTTAAATTTTGAGTTAAAGATACTGTGCTAACTCTTCTTAATTTCTAGCTTACAACTTCCGGCCAGAACGTATTTTTAGAATCGCGTTTGAATGCAAATGAGGAGAAGTATTTAACTGTGAAGTCCTACTGATTTCGTTAGAGAGAGAGAGAACCAGTGATTCTGACTGGCGCGCGTTCGCCTTTTGAGGTTACTCTCTCTTAAGCTACTATTACGCTCGACCGTAGGCCCTTGATAGCTTCGCCATTATTTAGCGTTAAGGGGCCAACTCTGTTAGAATCTTGATAGCTTCTGCTATATCTTTTTAGTTAAGATTAATTCAAGCTCGAGTGGAGGCTTTATTGTAAAACTCCAAGAAGGAGTTCTGTGAAATTAATTTAAAATAATAAAGGGTTTTTAACCCTTCCCAAGTTTTATCTTCTGTCTCACGAACTCAAGCGATTATTCGTTTACCAGTTCTGAAGTTTCCTCAACTTTAGCTATAGGAACTTTAGCTATACACTTAGGAATCTTAGAACTCAAATATCAGATATCAAGTTATATTAAGAAAACCAGCTTCAAGATTTTAAAGTTTTAATTCTGTTTTTGTTTACTAAATTTCATACTTACTGCTTTATTTAAATAAGTGTAATTTAAAAAAAAAAAAAACGTTTTTAAATGCCTTTTTCAATAATATAAGATTTAAATTTTACTACAGCTAGTTTTAATATTAAGTAAGGGGTTACTTTGGTTCTTTTGCATTAGATTTATTTGGTTGCTTGGAAAGTAATTTCGTTGTTTTATAAAAATGAATGAAAATTTTCTTATAGTGAATAAATATCTAATGAATTATATATTGTCCATTCTGGTCCAATACCTTTCGCCAGCTTTTTGACAGTAAAATGATTCCACGCTCATATTTTTTTTTTCTTTTTTTTTTTGCTGCCAAAAAAGGTGATTTTTGGCCTTTTCATCTGAAGTAAAGCTTTTACAGTCTAAGCAATTTTGTAGAGACAGGATCAAATAATAATCATCAACTGAGGAATATTGTGGGTGTGGCAATATATTCCAGCCATGCTGTGCAACCTGTTGGCGAGTTAGCTGAGGTCTCGCATTATCTTGGTGGAACAATACACCTTTCCTATTCATCGATTCTGGCCTTTTCTGTTTACGTGAATCATTCATTTTGTCCAGCTGATGGCAGTACAGTTCCGAATGAAACTTTATGTTGTCCGATAGAAGCTCAAAAAAAAAAAGATTCCTTTAAAATCCCACAAAATGGATATCATCATCTTTTTTTTGATGAATATAGAATTTCGCAGTGTTTTGAACCAATTCATCTTTTTTACTCCACGAAATTTTTACCGTAAGAACTTGATGAACCCATATGTCAAGCTTTGAGATTAAACCTAGGCGTTTCATATAATCATGATATCGATGATGATTTGATGAGTTGTCATTCGACGGTTTGCATCAGTTAGTGCCTTTATTGTGTCTTCATCAGACTTAAGTGGCCTTAAAGAACATGGTGTATCTTCAAGGTAAAAATTGCCGAGTCGAAATTTTGAAAACCAGTTTGAGCACTGGAATTCTGTCAATACATCTTCTCCATACACATCGGATAATTTTTTCTTGCTTGAATAACATTTTTAATCTTTTCAGTAGCAAAAAGAAAAAATATGCCGAAAATGTAGCTTTTATTTTTCAATATTAGAAAGAGCATTAACAAGAAACAATTTTGCAGAATCAATCGAACTTTTTGACAGGCAAGCCTTGCTATATCAGCTGTCAAAATATATAATGATTGCGTGGTTTAAGTGTAAGCCCTCTGTTGGGAAAAACAAAATTACTTTCAGAAGAACCCAACGTAAAAAACATACGAAATTCGGATTCAAGATGCATCCATTGAAAAGTTAACTTTTTAATATACATAACCTCCCCTTTATACTGTACAGACTTTTAGAAATTTTTACTGTTTATATCATGAAACCTTGTAGTAAAGAAATGCAAGTCTAAGTTAAACATTTAAGTAAATAAGATTTGCATCGCCTTTTCTCAAACATACGATACATGGTGTGCGAACAGAAGTAAACATTCAAGAATAAATTCTTTCTTTTCCCATTATGACGCCAATAAATCACGATCACATAAAACACATTTTCTATAAAAATGACTTTAATTCTCAACAGACTGCAAATATCTCTTTCTGAAACGTATAAAAATATGCAGAATCGAATGTGGAAACGTACTTCGACGCATCGAATTTAATTACTTGCGGCAGCCGTTCCGTCTGCAAATACGAGTACACAACCGAACGACGAGTGTTTAGCGGGAAAAAAATCAGTATTTGCACAGCTCTGATAAATAATACGGCTTATTTCTGAATGTAGGTTTTTATTGCTTTCTTGTGTTTAATTGCTTCGGTCATTAGCGGGACCAGAAGCGAAAAAGAGAAGTGTGAATTACCATCGAAATTTACTACACGTGGCTGCGCAATGAGTAATTTTTCAAACTATGGTCAATATTTTAACTAGGATTGTAGTTTTTGTTTTTCAGAGAAACATAATGAGCTCTCTTTATTTTCTTTGATGGATTGACATACACTGGGAACTTATTGCTCACAAAGTATCACACATTGCGTAATATTTGGGTTGAGCTGTCGTGAAATAACGGAAAAGTCTTTATTATGGTGGGGTGTGTTTTTTTTTTTTTTTTTTTTTTTTTTTTTTTTTACTCATTTTTCTGAAATTTGGGAATTTCCTACTGCTTTATTAGCTCATTTTGCAAAGTTTATTGTTAATCAAAATTTTATCTCATATAAGTTGGATCTTTTCTGCACCCCTGCTTTATACCAACTCTAGCAGAAATCCAGATAAAGTGGGTTTAAATAATGATAATATAATCTTAAAATAAGAACTTAGCAACTTCAGTTAGAGCTTTGTAGTTCTCAGATCCTTCTCCGTGTTAGAGCGCTGACTGTGTTAGAGCGCTGTTTGTGAGTTCTAGCTATTGACTTATGCTCGCAGTTACGTTAGAGAATGCGATAGCATGAGAGTTAGATTCTTAGTCTCTAATTTAATATATCCATTCCATAAATAACTGAAATAATGTTACTGTACCTCAAGAAGTGTCTGTTGAGTTTCTGTTAATATTTCAGCTCCGTAGCTTCAAGACGAATTAATAATAAATATCTGAATTGATTTTTACAATTGTTGTCATTACTTCAGGTTATTGAATTCTAGGT